CCTTATTAAATGGCTTGGCTATGGTCAGCCTGCCTTCTGGGAAAAGATGATCCTTGATAGCAAAGTCCTTCATATACACTCCTTTCACTCCTTTTCCCCCTCAAATCCCTAAGAGCCTTCTTAATACAATCTTGGATTTTCCATCTTTTGTTAGCGTCTACCACTTTGTGTTTTAGCATAAGCCTGGAGCATAAGAATAGTCTTACAATTTGGGATGAGGGAAAATGCCGCAGCCTGTGGTCTTTAATGCCATAAGTATATAGTGGTTCTTCTTTTCCCTTGGTCAGTTACCCCTACCCCATTTCGTATTTCCATAGCACCCTGGGCATCCTCTCTCATAATAGTGTAAACCTTCTCTATACGTATTTCTTGTGTTTCCCACTAGGCTGGGAGCCCTGTCAAGGCAGCTTCTCTCTCTCTCTCTCTCTCATATTGCTTTCAATTGCCATTTGGTCATCTATACATATATTTGTGGAATACAAGTCAGAATGAAACATGATTGACTCTAGAGCCGTGTTCTATTCATTGCTGTATCCAGGGACACTAGAGATTCTTCCATCAGTGGACATACATTTCATATATTTCCTTGGCCTTTATTTCCTGCCTGGATGACAGATGACAAAGTATAATTACCTTGTCCCATAGGATATTTTCACAATTAAAAAAAGTGATTTCATGTATCTCATATCTGAAAATGACACCACCTCACCCCCTTGAGAAGCTAATCATATGCACTCATGCCAGTTTGTCACACAAAAGCCTGAGGAGATCCCCCAACCCAACTTTATTTCCAGAAACATTTGAGGACAAGCACCTGCCCTGGTTTTCCACCTTCTTTGTCTTCCATGTAAACTTGCAGGAGTCAGAGCTCCAGGCATAGAATTCATAGCTCGGAGGCTTGAAAACTTCTCTCCCGTTTTCATGTCAAGAGGATCTGTTTGGTCCTGTTGTATCTAAAAGAACCTTGAGTGTGGAGCAAGGGAAAGGCCACAGGGAGGAGAACTTGTTTGTGTGTGGGGTGAATGGGGGGTCCTGACCAATAGGGAGAAGGTTTACATTTGAATTCCTGAAATCCAACCAGTCCTGTGCTATGGAGGGCTTTTCTTCTGGCCTGAGCTTCGAGTAAGATCAGTGCTGGTTCATATTCTCTTAACATTCTCATAGTTGTACAGTCTGAGTAAAGATATAATCTTGGAACATTATAAAGGCATGTTGTGATGGAAAGGGTATTAAGAACCTCCTCCCTTCTCCTCTTCTTCCTCCTTCAAATTCATCATCATCAATATCATCATCTCCATCATCATCACCACCATCATCATCACCATCACCGCCATCACTATCACCATCATCATCACCATCATCACCATCACCACCATCATCACCATCACCATCATTATCACCATCAATCACCACCATTACCATCACCATCATCACTATGCATTGCATCATTCAAGCTCTTCATTCTTTTCGAATATCCTCCATCAATTCATTCATTTTGATCATCACAGAAGCTCTGAGTGGTAGGTGGGGGCAGAGCTTAAATATACCCATTTTAGAGATACGAAAAATAAGGTATATAGATGGTCAATGACACTTGTCCAAGACGCAGAGAGAGGAAAGGACAGACCCCAGCCACCTCTCTTCTGACAGCAGTGAGGCATTAGTTTTCTTTAGGGAGTAAGGGGGCTGAGGGTTTTCAGATGGGAATGAACAGGAAAGGTAAGGAATTGGATGAAACTGAAGTCATGGTTTTCATATACAGTCGAAAGGAAGATAAATGGGGCTGCCGAGTGCTTTTGCTATTATTGCTCTTGTGCTTTGAGCTGGTAGGTCTAAGTGGCAAGGCCAAGGCTTTCATACATTTCAGGTACAGAATAATACTGGCAAGAAGCAATGACTATGGGAGCACTAACAGCTGCACTATTGGGAGGGATGAATTCTCCTTTTCTCATCTCTGAACCACACGCAGCAGTTTCTAGAGCTGTGAATCATCCATTCGAGGGAAAAGAGGGAAATGGAAAATTAAATATAATTCATGCTTTGCTAATTGAAATCAAATACAAAATTCAATCTCCTGTGAGTTGCAATGCTCACGTTTAAATAGGGCAGAAGTATTATTAACCTGACTCTGTTTTAGCAGGTTGACTTGGCTTTTCTGGATAGGAAATAATTCCTTTGTCAAGTTTCCCCACTGAAGAAGGGGACATGTCTTACTGGCTCACTCCCAGAGTCACATGCATCAAGCTAGAGTAGACACTGCAGAAAATAGACCGTAAGCACGTCAAGTTTGCATTTCTTTTCCAAACCATGAGCTTTCAACCATATCGCCAAATAGACCCTTAAGATAAAAACCCTCAAGCTCTCAAGGCTTTGGCTTCTGCCCAATTTCTCCAGAGAATTTAAGCCTGCTGTTAGATGCAAGAGTGTATACATACTTTAAGGGGGGGGGGCGCGATTCCCCACTTTTATTTTCCAGGTGAGAATGGCCTATTGGTGAACCGTCAGCTCACCCTATTAAAAATGGATTTGCTTGTCATATTTATTTGAGGACACATAATTACTAGGTTTTTTTTAAAAAAAATGGCACTTAAGGTGTTAATGTTCTGGGTTTATGGGGACGGAGAGACAGCCAGGGAGATGGAAAGTGGAAAGTGAGTGTAATTGAGGGCCTGAGTCAATTATGTCCACCCAGCTTAGAAGAGATGAGGGTAAGGGTCGGCTGGTGTAATGGTCCCTCTTGGCTGGTAGAAAAATATCTTTAAAGCCTTCTTAGAATCAGACGCTCCTTTGACTGTTGTGAGATTAACTCTTACCTAGATCTCACTGAACTCCCCCCACCCCCAAAAAAAGAAAGACCATGTTTGTCCCAGGAAGCCATGACACCCCGGGGGCCATTTCTCTTGGGAGGAATCCCCACAAAAGCTTACGAGGAGGACAGGACCAACAATGACAGGGCAAAGAAATAAGCAAGCAAGACTTGCCTCCCTCTGTTCTCAATCCCAGCTCCCTTAAGAACATTTTTGAAAGGACAGGTGCCTGAGCTCTACCCTAGAGCTCCCGATTCCACCAGAAGTGTGGTCAGGAATGATGGTAGGAAGCTATAGCCTGAAAAAAGCCCCACAGCCACCCCGATGGGTAGCTAGACCCACTCTTTGCTCTGCTTATACCACAAGGCCCACATCAGCCCATAAAACACTGTTCTGAACCAGCATGCATTCTCTTCTTTCAAAGAGATGGGTTTGTATATGCCTGCATGTGTTCATCTGTATCTTTTGCTTTGTTGGTGAAAGCATATTCGCTGCCTTCGGTTCAAAAACCACTTTCTTATCTGGCAAAAAATTATTTGTAAGGTTGTTTCTGAGTAGTGTATCAGTCTATCCCCCGCCAGGGTTAGTTAAGAGAGAGAAAGCTGCAGTCCTTTGAGAGCCACTTCCTTTGTGCTATTTTGAGAATTATCTGGCCCTGCAGACAGAATCTCCCATAAGATTCTCTAATCTGGGGCTTTCTGACCACCCCGGAGGAGGAGGGATCATTCCAGAATTCGAGGGTCGGGGTGGGGTTGGAGGTGACCAATACAAACACACCATCAAAGCCCATCAATCAGGTTGCATTAAGCTTTATAACAACACAGTTTTCATTTAGCGGGAGAAATGAATTTAATAACAGGTGAACAGACTTAGCTCCCCCCCACTCATACATATTTCCAAATTTACTAGAACAGTTCCTGGTTTTGGAGATCTGTGAACAAGTGCTTGGCATCAAATGTGGCCTTTTAATCAAATCAGAGTAAAGGGAAGGGACACTTCGTTCAGCAGCCCTTGATAGGGTTGTCCACAGACAGCCCTTGCCCTCCCCTGCATCCGCAGACTGGATCTGAAGACCCGCCATAGATGGGAGGGTCTGTCCCAGCCCCAATGTGCCATCTCTGAAGAGAGTAAGTGAAGCATCAGATGATCATGAGGAGGACATGGTGGGGCAAACAAGAATGGTGACTGATCCCCTGTTGGTTGTGTTGCTCAGGATTACTCATAATGGAAGACATGCCAACTATCTGGTCCTTGCCCGTCTAAGGACCCCAAGGGACAGAGCCCATCCTGAAAGCATTCCTCAGAACTGTGGTGCTAAGGGTCTTCACGTATGGAGACCTCCCACCAAAAGATCTGGCCTTCTTTTCTCACCCCCAGAAATAACATTTATCTTTACCAGCCTCAGGGCTTAGAACTCAAAGGCAATCATACGGCTCCGAGAACAGCCATGTAGGCCTGATTCTCTCATGAGGGCCTATGTTAAGCTTCACCACAGCCCGGGACCCTCCTTGGAGGGCTCTTGGAAAGAAGGCTTCCAAGGGTGTCAGCTTTTATTTTTGTGTTTTTTTGTTTTCTGGTGAGGAACGTGCATGTCTCTGCCTTCATAAGGTGAGGAGAGGGGATGTCAAAGGGTTGTGGGATGAGACCTTTAAGGAGAAGGCTAGAGACACCTCAGAGAAAGGACCTTGCTCCCTAGGAGTCCTGGAGCACTCAGCCACAAATAGCATTCTGGAGAGATGCCAAAGCAAAGGTTTGTACAGCAGAGGGCTGTGCCAGATGCAGGGCTAGGACTCAGGCTTCTAAAGTGGCCAAAGTAGACCTTCCTTCCTCTTTTTTTTTTTTTTTAATCACTTAAAGAAACATTCCTGGCATGGTCTCTGACCTTGACAGCTATTTATCCTGTCTTTAGACTCTATTAATTAGCAGAAGACAAGAATTAGCAGTGGCTCCTGGTGGCCATCTGGTCAACCAGATGCCGCTGCCCTGGCAAACCCAATGCCTCCATGAGGATGCCATGGGATCCATCCCTTTGCCTAAGCCTACAGCACTGGAAGCAGTCCCAGCTGGACAAAGGAGGGGGTCTACTTGGCACTCCAGTGAGGCTGAGGCCACAGACCCCGGTGAGGGGGATTTCAGGACTCAGGTAAGGAGCCTCCTTAGCTATTCACTAGCCTTCCCTCTGCTTCTCTAACCTCATTTGTCACCCTCTTCCCGTTCCCACTGGAAATCTTGACCAGTCATTTGGTAAAACATCATGTTGAAGGGCTTGTAGAATTTCTGCAGTCTGTGGATCACATCGGGGTCAATGCGGGGATGAGTCCGACCTTTGCTCTTGCCTAAGCATCTTGGGGCACTGCTGTCTTCTGGCTTCTTTAGACAAGGGAACCCCTTGGTTTTGTTGAAATAGAAATGTTTTTCAGTCACGACACGCTTGAGGCCTAGAAAATCCTGTACTTTGGCCATTTCCCCGGCAGGGTCCACTATGAGTCGCTCACCACTGACAAAGAGGATTTGGGAGAGGGGGAAATACTGGAGCCAGTTTTCCAGGTGCAGAGCATAGATCCCTATTCGAATGGCACTCCAGGAGGCGTCGATCAGCCCTAGGGTCCGGTTTTTGAAGGCCAGCACCTCGAAGGTGGGGATCTCGGGTTTCTTTGACAGCGTCTGAGTATAGTCAGAGATGGCCCTGGTCACAGGGTTCCTCACCACCACAATCAGTTTGATGTCCTTGGCCATGGCATGGATGCGCTTGGGAGCCTCGTTTGTCACGAAGTAACTCGGTGTCTTCTCCATGGTTACCTGCCCATCCAGAGTCTTGGGCATCACATTTCTGGAAGAGGAAGGGAAAGGAAAGAGAGTGGTCATTCCCATCGAGAACCGTTTTAACTGTTCACACAAAACGTGTGACATAAAGAGCCTCGTGGGGAGCTACAAAATAAAATTTGTTGATAAATCCTAGGGATTCTTTTTAACTCTATGTCCCACTATGGCTCTGATCATGGTATTATCAGGAGAGGCAGCATAAGGCTTCCGCCTTCATTCTTGGGAACCTCATACACCTGGGTTTCAATTGCAGCCCTATCTCTTACCAGTTACGTTCAATGGAGATATGCTCTTAATTTCTCTATGTATTAGTTTTGTGTAATCTCTGAAACAGAGGTAATGATAGCACTTACTTCGCACTGTAGTAGAAGGATTAAGGGAGATAACACTTGTAAAGCATTTAGCACAGAATCTGGCACGTGCAAGAGCTTAATAAATCAAGGAAGTTACTATTGTTGTAGCGGCTTTTGGAAAACGTTTCAGCGCCCCAAGAACTCAAAGATTATCTAGACCAGGGGTTGGCCAACTACTCCCTGCCTCTCATTTTTTTTTTTGTTTTGTTTTGTATGGCTCTCAGCTAAGACTGATTTTTAATCTCTAAACAGTTAGGAAAAAAACCCAACATAATAATAATAACATTTTGTGATGCATGAAAATTATATGAAATTCAAATTTCAATGCCCATAAATAAACTTTCCCTGGAACAGAGCCACACTCCTTCCTTGATGTACTGTCCCTGGTTGCTTTTGTGGTACAACAGCAGAGCTGAGTAGTTGCAACAGGGAATTTAAGACACTCAGAGCCAAGCATATTTACTCACTGGCCCTTTAGGAAAATGTATGCTGAGCCTTGACCTGGTCCAAAGGCACCACTGTGCAAATGCAGAAATGAAGCCTAGAGACAGGGAACCAGATAGGCTTTGTGACCTGAACAAGTTTAATCACGTCCCCTTATTCTCCTCTGTAAAACCCTAAAGCTCACCTCAAGTTCAAGTTCAGAAAAAAATGACATACAGTGTGAAGGCATCCAGCATGGGTCTGGTTCTAGAAATGGAATTCTTCTTTACTTTGCTCCCCAGCTTGCCCAGTGAGCCAGTGGTAGATCCCACACCATGTCTCTCGGTTTCCTTCCCTACGATGCATCTCCATGCCCACCCCTCCATCCGTGTTCACCTTCAGAATGGCCACGTCCCATTTGGGAGCTTCAAGACATTAAAGGAGTTTTGATGCTATTTGTCCCCCAATCCCAATGTGGCAGGCCTATCAATGATAAAAGAGGCTCGGGATCCTATTACGCAGTTATTTTGCTGTAGGCATATGTAGACCAAAGTTAACAGACAATAAACCTGTTAGACCTGTCGGTACAGCAGGCCATCGATGACCACCATGTGTTCCATTAAATCTATTCATTTCTGAGCCCTGCACCAAAGTGGTACATTTAGGATTACACAAGACCTCTTTTTTGTGATGACATGCTTTTAAATGTCTCAGCTAATAAAACTTAATACAGACGAAGATCCCTTAGCTTCCCCTACTATAATTAAATTTATTTACTCTCGCATGTGTGGAGAAAGAACAACTTTTCTTTTATCTCTAATTCACATGCTCTGTCAATAATTAATTGCTACTGGGTTTTGAGCTTTCTTGGCAAGCACTTTTATTAGGCAAGAGGAATTTGCCCGGTAGAGAGCTTCACATAGAATTAGATGTTGTTAGCACGTAATGGCTGGACAGCCAGAAGTCTTCAGATTAAAGCCATAGCCCGTGCTCGTCTTGGACTAACGTATTCTCCAAAGTGGTTTGAACATCTTTATGTGCCTGCTGGGCTCTCACCAGATTTAACTGTGTCATTCAGAGGTGCAGGGCTCAGGAACGCAGAACCTTTGGGAGTCAGATGTGCAGGACTGAAGAATTTCTGACTACCCTCGCCCCTGGGAAGTTGATAAAACCTGAATTTACTCTGAAGTTCAGAGGACCTCTAGGAAGCATCCTTAATCCACACTGAACCCCAAGTTTCTCATCTCAAAAAAAATAAGGCTAAGCAGAGTGCCTCCCTCCTGGGATTATAACGAAAATCAAATGTGATAATGCAGTTAGATCACTTAGAATAGTACCCGGTGAATACCAGAGTCTTTAAAACCTACACTAGGTCTATAAGACGGTTGGCACAGCAATTCTTAGAGAAAAGCAAGGAAAAAATACTTCTACTTGACCCAAACATGGCAAAGCTGAACAAGTGAACGAAGGAACAGGTCTAGGGATAAAGGCTATTCTCACTCAAGCCCATATCACCAACCACACTGACCTGGAGGCTGGTGACAGATGAATTCAGCCTGAGTTCAAGGAACATGCCGATGTCCTATTTTGATTTCAATTGGAGGGATATATTCTTTTAGTATGAAACTCATGTTGCATTATGAAAATATTAAATAAAGACTGATGTAAAAAAATGCCTGAAGACAGATATTTTTACATGGCCCTACCCAGATTTTTAATCCCTCACATATACTGTTGCTTGTTTATTTCGTGGCCTTTTTTTTTTTCTTTAGTGCAAGAGCAGCTGCTAGATTTTTCTTTTTTTTTTAAATTTTATTATGTTATGTTAGTCACCATACAATACATCATTAGTTTTTGATGTGGTGATCCATGATCCATTGTTTTCGTATAACACCCAGTGCTCCATGCAGTATGTGCCCTCCTTAATACCCATCACGGGGCCAACCATTCCCCCTTCCCCCCTCCCCTCTTTTCTTCTCATTTGTTCTCTGCCATTCACTTCTCAGACCTCTGTGTGCATTTGTTTTTACGATGGGCCCCTTTCAAATTCATCTCCTTCACTTTGGCTAATTGCTACGGTCTGTCAAGACATGTAGGGATCTCAAGTCTTTATCTGAAGCATCTGGGATGAAAGGACACCCCACCTCCAAGCCACTGTATGCCCAGCTCCGTGCTCAGTGCAAAAGGGAACGAGAGGAGGGGTGCCGGGGAAGGCAGAGGGGAGCAGAGGAGTCTAAATGTCTTTGATTGTGTTATAGATGAATTAAATAAAACATGTCACTGAGGGAGAGGTCTGGCATTGGGGCATACGCGGTGAGACCATCTCATTGAGCCAAGAGAGAGTCGTGTGGTACAAGCTACTCAGGATTTGTTGTCAGTAAGAAGATCCGCAGGAGCTGCTCAGCCTCTATGAAGTAGCCATTCCCCCTTCCCGGAACGGATTCTGCACCAGTTATATTCATTCATTCACGAATTCCTTTTCACTCCTGCAGTCCTTGCTAACTACCTGAATCATAGAGCTTAGGATACTGTCATAATAGGACTTGTTCCCCAGCCCTTCATGGCTAGTCTCAGTCCCTCGAAGCTATGGGCAATGTTCTATTCACCTTTGTATCCCTTGGGTCTAACCTAGTGCCCGCCACATATGGTGGTCACCCCCTCACTCTCTGGGGTTGTTGGATGAACCCAGGAATGGCATACAGATGAAAGCCTGATCCCTGGACGCGAGGAGAACTGGGGCACAGCTTGCAGGGCATGGCCCCTCTAAGTAGGGTTTCCACGCATGGGGGTTTGGCGTGAGTGAGTTCTGTGCCATCACTGTCTGAAAGACCATGCACTTCAGTATGGACCATATGGGGAGAAAACACCACATCTGGGTTTGGAACAGCTCGTTAACAGTATCTGGGGTGCTCAGAGCAGCTGTGACATCAAAGTCAACACACAGGCCTGAAGCGAGACGCGTGCTGCAAGATCACACATCTGCTCTCGTAGCCCCAAAGGTTTGCGAGCTGCCATCCAACGCACTCACCAGCCCCGACTCCGGCTCCGGGGGGTGGGGGTGCTTTGCAGAGCACAAGCCCTGTGTGAGTGCGGGTTGTCGCTCTGGGGGCCTCTCTGGAGATGCTGCCAACAAAAGTTACCACCCTCCGGTCACAGAGTGCTCACTCTAGGCTGTGGTCTGAATCCAAATTCTGATGCCAGATCCACTTCTCTAAGCACTTTCAAGACACTGGACTCTCCAGCCTAGTCGGTTAAGCGCACAGACTCCGGACTTTCCAAGTTTGGATCCACTTACTTATTAGCTGTGTGACCCTGGGCGAATGACTTAACCCAGGTAATCTGTTGCTCCGTCTCATTATCTGGAAAACGGGCATCGTACTAATAAGATCCATCTCGGAGGGATTTTATGAAGATGAAGTAAGTTAATATTGAAAAGAGTCCCTTATATAGAGAAGGTTCTCAATATGTTAGCTGTGAATGTTTAAACAACTATCTTGGACACTACTGTTATCCCCATTATAGAGGTCCGGAAACTGAGGCCCAGTGAAATGGATTTGTTTGCCCAAAGTCACAGAACTGGAGTTGAAATTCAATCCCAGGTCTGTCTTGCACCATAGCTAGCCTGAGCCCTTTATGGCTGCCTGACAATGATTAACAGAACTAGAGAGGTTGGGGAAGGTCACAGGACTTGCCCAAAGTCACTCGGCTAGTGGGTGGCAAAGCTGAATGTTAAAACGAGCCTCATTATGTTATGTTGTAAAGGTGGGCTGTCACTGACTTACCACTGGGAGTTACAGAAATCCAGGCCAGAATCCCCAGAAATTCTTGCCAGATCAAGCTACATCGTTCAATTTGTGATATCTCTCTCTGGGGCCTCCTCAATTGAAGCAAATGGATACCATCATGAACGCCGAGGGAGAAAGCAATCACCCATGTCAGATATAAAGTGCCCATTCTCTCTGGAAGGGTCAGTGGCAGAGCTTGCCTTTGGCTTGCCTGAATTGGAGATAACGTGGGCAGCTCACATTTTCCCAAATGCATTTTCCCGTGGAACAAATGGTGCATAAATTAGCAATATGTTCTGAGCCCTCCTGATGAACTGTAACCCAAGAGAATGGTGGTTAGAGCAAGGGCATGAGGTAGGACCACTTCCTCCACATTGAGGAAGAACTCACTTAGAAAGTCAATCGAGCTCTTGCTGTTTGCCAAGCCCGGAACAAGGCAGTTCCAT